GAGAGAGAGAGAGAGTTATTCTCGATTTTATATTTTTTTATATTTCGTTATATTTGTTTGCGTTACCTGCAAAATACCCCAGCTTTGAATTGGCTACTGAAAAGTCTAACTGTTAAATCAGCGACAAAATTGTCTTCCGTTTCATCATGAGTTCACAATATAGCCCCAGTCCATTCCTGTGCAATCAATGATCTCTGTCACAGTGTCGATTTGCGATATTCTCATGAAATAATTCGCAACATTTTTTTCTTTCGCTTTTTTGATTCTCTTGATATTCATCGCGATAAGATCATCACTGACTTTGAATTCCTTGATCGTCAACCAACCATTCCAATCTCTTCTAAATCGAAAGGATCTTCGATCGAGACTATCGCTGGGAATTCCAAAAGATACTTTAGATTATCCATTCCGTAAAGCTTCGGTCTCCAAGTAATTGGTAGGATCAGAATCTTCCTTACATGCCATCCGTCTTAAATATCGATCATTCTTTTATGTCTATATAAGATATAAACATGAAATTTCTTTAGAATACTATTATCGACAATCGATGATGAAAGAAAGAAAAAAATGTTTCGAGTATAAAATGAATAGCAAAATTCTCTTTATAAAAAGCACTCACTATCATATCCAACGCTATCTTAATTATGCCTTTGTAATCTGCCTATGATGCACGCATTTCGAAAGATCAAGATGGCTTTGTCATTCTCCAAATTCGGAATGAAAGCTCCATCATCTGGAAATAAGTTACGTATTTGCTTAGCATGAACAATTTTTCTCTCCAATACTCAATAAATCTCGGTGGCCATTTGTACGAGCACACTCTTGGCACCTGAAACTTTTGACATTGAATATGCAAGAAAATAAAGTCGAACATTTCAACAATTTAACGATTAAATGATGTATTTGGTTTTGTTTGGCAAGTACACATGTATCTAAGGGCAATATTGCGAATTCTTGACATGATAAATTATTGCCGACATACTGTTTTCTGCTGATTATGCTAAAACTCGGGCCATATACAATGTATCGTTTTTGGTCAATTCGACAATGTATCTGAAATGCGAGACACCAGAGATAAGCGATCGTAAAAGATGAAAAATCTGTTCATATAATCGATCAAATTAATTTAGCTCTGAAAAACAACGATCGATAATTATCCGTAAAGCGACAAATCTTTTTTAGCGACTTTGCAATAAGCTATTGAGACCTCGAGAATAGAGTTAATACCGAATCTTGACTTCTTTTTTGTGCGATACAATCAATTCAGAAGTTTCTATCTTGTTTTATCTAAGTTGTTCTATCTAAGTTTCATCTTGTTCAAAAATTTTCAGCTTTGACTTTATCAATCGAGGAGTAATCAAATTATTGACATCAACAGCTTTGAGTATTGAACAACCGTGATAACTCGTTCCTTCATCTGATCTCACGCGTTTGATGCGGAATGGGTAGCATGGTAGAGGGTATCGATCTAAATAAATCGATGTCGGCTTCCAAAGTCGTCTCTGCTATCAAATATTTGACAAGCTCTTTTGAAGTGCCATTTTATTATATACAAATTGAAACTTTTATATTTATCGCGTTTATATTTATCACATTGCTATCATCATTGGATTAAATGTTTATTTTAAAAATTTTGTAAATACGCACAGATTTTACGATTTAATTGCAATCGACGATAATTATATCATCTGATAATTTTGACCAGATTTACATGTGACCTTATGTAACTTGCATACACATTTAACATTCAGGTTCGATTATCGGAATCGATTAGCTAATAGTAAAGCATGAATAGTAAGGCATTATGATGAATTGTTTGTAACCTAATTTCAGATGAGAAATTCAGAGAAAGAGAAAAATATGGAGTATTATGCACTCGAAGCAATATATACTCTTATTTAGCCATAGACATTTGTATCTTTGAATCCTATTATAGATTTTTTAAATTAAAGAGAATAGAAAAAATCTTTCCTTCTCTGTTTCATTTAAAATTAAAATTCGAAAATTTATCTATAATTTTCGATCAATTGCGATACAAATCACAAAATGATATAAATCTGATCTTCCTTTTAATTTATGATTTTAGGAGCAAGACGCGATGTGGATGGATATTTATGGGTAACTGGCCGTATTGATGATATGTTGAACGTTTCCGGTCATCTAATGTCAACGGCTGAAGTGGAAAGCGTATTGGCAGAACACTCCTCTGTAGCCGAGGCCGCGGTAGTCAGTAAATCGCATCCTGTTAAAGGTCAATGTCTATATTGTTTCATTACACCGACTGCAGGCACGACATTTGATGAAAAATTGCAAAGCGAGCTTAAAAAGAAAGGTGAGTTTTATTGAGCCAACCGATTTGATTTTATACGTTACTCAATATATACAAGAAGATATATTCAAAGTATGGTTTCAAATATGGTTTGAGCAGTACGCGAGAGGATTGGTCCATTTGCCCAACCGGATATCATTCAACATGCCCCTGCTCTACCGAAAACAAGATCTGGCAAAATCATGAGACGTATGCTAAGAAAAATCGCAGCGGGTGACAGGAATATCGGAGATACATCAACATTGGCCGATGAGACAGTCATTCAACTTCTCTTTGAATTAAGGCCATATGTTTAAGATGCGCGGTTTTTGTTTGTAATAGAGAAATGAAAGTATCTTATGAGAAGACTTTTCATGTCGATCATCAAACGAACATCGGAAATATATCGCATAATTCGGATACTTTCATAAAAATAAAATAATAAATCGCACATTAAATCGAGTCGATCTATGTATTTGCATGATAGTGAAGACATATAGGAATTTTATTTTATATGACATTCAATCATTAATCATTTGACAACCAAATTTGACAAAATTTTGTATAAATTTATGAAATGTCTAGAATATTATTTCTTTCATAAAATCAATTTGATATCATCACTTAAAATTTTAAAGTCAAAATGAAAGTTTGGATGTCTCTTTTTTTTTTAAAGTTCCTCTCGAATAGAACTTCCTCTTGAAAAGAATTATTGAAAGAATAGATTGATAGAATTAACTTATTGAATTACGAATTAAGAATTAAATTATTGATCGTTGTCCTCAGAGTCGCAAAGTTGACTGTGTAATACATATCTTACATAAGCATCGCCAATAAATAGTCTAAGTGTTCCTTTTTTTTTTTAAGCCAAAGTTAAGCTTGAAATTAATTGCAGAACAGGAAGCTCAATATAAGTAAATCATAACAAATAAATAAATATAACACGCGCGCGCGCGCGCGCATAC